GTGCGCTGAATTATACATCGTTAATCACGAAGATGAATTTGGAATATATTCGACGAATATTCAAAACACAGTCAGACTCCTATATAGTCACATCCTATACAATCACAATTCCTATATAATCACTGAGCCTTTTGGTTCTGATTTTTATATATTAAATTTTATCATATACACTTTCATATTATCATATATAATCATCGATTCATGTTATCAATGTAGAAACAATTGAAATTGAACAAATTACCACTGATAGAATAATTGAATCTTTAAATCAATCAGATATTAGTGATGATGAATTAGAATTTTAGAATATATTAATGATAATTATATCAATGACAATGAATTGAACTTGACTGAAAAGCCCTTAGATGATGATGAAATAGTTCAAATGGTTTTGGACAAAGTAAACAATGAATCAGAAAGTGAAAATATTTATTGATGAACCAAAAATTATTGTGACTACTGCGAATGTTTTGAAAGCAGTAGATACAATGATGGAATATTTTGAGCATCAAAATCACAAAGAAGTTTAAATCTTTTTACAATAAATAATTGAAACTATTTTCATTATTATTCTTATGTAAATTATTATAGCATATTTTTAATAAATATTAAATTTTCTTTTTTTCATAATCATTGACTGAATTTTATATAGGAGGGATCTTATACAGTCACATTAGCTATAATCACCAAAAATCTCTGGTCCCGACCATGTGATTATAGAGGAGTTTGACTGTATTCGTAAAATATGTAATATTAAATTTGTTAGTATATACAAATTTTCTGCACAACCATCCCAACTGAATTTTATAGATGAAAAGCGACTATACATAAGAGTTTATTTATATGATTTACTTTATATATCCTCTTCAATCTCAAAATTATTGTCGTGCTAGTTGAATAGTTGAGATATTATTAAAGAGCGATGAAACATTAGACAACTTTAGAAGGTAATTAATTAATTGTTTGATTTGATTAATTTTTATTGTTAATTAAAGTACCAGTAGTAAATAAAATATTTGATCAAAGGCTTCGATTGATGTTTTAAAACAATACGCAGAAAGAATGCATTGGTTTTTTTAATTTATTGCTAACGAGAACAAAGATGCGAGACGTAAGGTTTTAAATGTGAATAAATAAAATTTTTTTCTTAAAAATTTTAATTGAAATAATTAAATTTTTTATGAGTGTAAAATATTTGAAGTCTGTATACATTTAGATTGGGTTGAAGCTGATCCTGTGAGTCCACCAAATAAAGTTTTATAAACAGTTACAAGTATGTATTGTACATGAATATAAAGAAAAGAAAATAGATATTTCAAAAAATCATTGGCTTGTTATGCACATTATAACATTATTAACAAGAATTGAATATAGAGATGATAAAATTACATGTATGAAAGATGTAAATAAAAAGTTTTACAAGTAAAAAATTTTTTTTTTCCTTCATTAAAATTCTTGATTAATGATTTATTTATTATATTCAGACATCTTGATCCGAAGAGGACAAGTCCAAATGATTGATCCAATCATTCGAATTTATATCACATTAACATTCTGTTTGGGCTTATTACAATTAGCTCTTTAATCAAAATTAAATATTGGTCAAAATCAAAATGAAATTATTGACGACAACGAATTTGACTGGAATATTGATCAAAATGAAATTATTAAAATTGAAGATGACGGTGGCAACGATAATGGTGAATCTATTGATGATTCTAATCAATAAAATTAATTTAATAAAATACTATTAACAATTATTGATAAAATATATTCAAATTTTAAGATTAATCATACATGATATTTTATATATATATATATATTTTTTTTTTAACAATTAATGTTCTGGTATAACCACAATTGAAGGTGGAATAAATCTTTTCTTGTTATTATAAACACTTTCTCCTACTTTCCAACCTGGAACATCTTTCATTATTTCTTCTTCTTTTGCTAGAGTTGCAAGTGATCTTCTGTAAGAATCACGATCTAATTCTGCTTGTAACAAAGGAACCAAATATATACGTGACCACACTTTCTCACGTTGAAGTTCCCTTAATTTTATATTAACAATTGATAACGATAATTGAGAGAAAAGCTTTTTCAAAAAAAATATTTTCCTATCCACAACTTTTCAACTAACCTTTTTTCTACATTTGCCTGTCCTAATTTATAAAAACCATATGTACATATAGCGAACATGGCTGAAAAAAGTACAAAACCAGAGGGTCCTTTTCTAGGAACATTACGTTTATATTTGATTGTAGGAAATCCGCCTGGTGGTGGGAGATCTTGAGTTTGGGTTGTCATTTATTTTTTTTTTTTAGAGAAAAATTTTTTTGGCCATATAATTTTTATTTTAAAACGGCTTGTTACACGATCCGGAATTTTTACTATTAACATTAATTATTATGCTGGTCACCACCCTCTCTCTCTCAATATTTTTTAATCATTATATAATATTTGTGAGTTAATAACTTTGGATCAGATGATTGATTTTAAAAGAGAGTTTCTTTAATTATTTACATTTCTTCTTTTTTTCTTAAGGTCTCCTGCAATTATTAAAAAAATGCTTCAAAATGATGAATAGAATAATTTTCGAAGCTGTAGTTCTGGAGCCATCCTATCTTTGGGGAAGAAGGGACAGAAAATAATAGGCAAGGTGTAAATATTATGGAAGTGAAACAAGGAGGGTTAAAGCAATCAATAATCGATGGGTGCTTATTTTATATTTAGAACTTATTCCTGTAAAGCGTAAAATGTAATCGATAAGAGAGAATTAATGCATCAGGAAATTATTTTAAAATAGATAAATGTGATTTATACGGGCCAAATTTTTCCATATAATAAATAAAAGATGGTTATTGCAACATTTTTGAAGAAAAGGCTAAGTTTGGAGGTTATAATAGACAGGATAAATTAGTTTAAAGATACTATTAAAAATTTTCAAGCGTGATTATGCTTGTGTATTTATTATTATGCGCAGAAAAAAAAAGATGCTCGTTGCAGTGAACCCAATTTTTGTTCACTGTAATTTTCAAGGATATTTGTTTTATATGATAGTACCTTCTTTTTGGAATTGCAATTCTTTTGATTTCATTATGTCACGGACATAACTAGATTGAAGATAAACACATAAACACAAGGCAAGCTTCAACTTGAGGAAGTTTTTCTCTCGTAGATTTTCATTTTTAGATCTTTTAACACATTTGAAATTAATGATTTTGATACACATCGATAATTTGTCCAAAGGTTGCCTTTGAACTATGCGTTTCGTAAATTGATCTAACTAACTAATATCAAGTCAATAAATACCATTTATTGTAAATAAAAATGACACAAGAAACAACATATATAAGCATTATTCATCGTTGATGACTTTTGTATTTTAAATATTCCATTATTTAGGTATTTTCACATCAACCAATTTGGTTTTTGGGCCTTTTTTTCAATCTTATATCTTATTGTGTCTCGATGTTAAACACGAGTATTTTCAATGTGTAAACTGGTCAGTAGAATGATTATACCATAAAAAGATTTATTTTCCCCGCTAAAAAAAATATTTTACTATTCAACAGTCTGTCAAACCAATGGCCCACCTCAAAACCAATGGGTTTTTTCTAGTATATAGTATTCATAATAATAATGTTATGATCATACTGCATTGAATTTGGGGTTCAAAACAAAATCAGCATATATGTATTTGGAACTTTGAAGAAGTTACAGGGGCAGTTTCTTTTTACTTTCCAGGAATAAATTCCTTGGTAATTTCAGATTCTCTATTTCTTAAATCACTTTCTAGTAGGAGAAGCACTCGGCACTTTTGCGGAAATTACTTCTCTAAAGCTTTGATTTTTCACTATCTAGACCAAGTTTTAATTCCTCGGCAATTACTCGGAGTAATTCAAAATAGGGTTCTGCAAATGCCCATTCCGGGCACCTTTGACATCACTCTGGGCACTGTTGACACCAATGTTTCTGCCCGTACCAGTGTCTTCGTCTCTACATTTTAGGCACATACCATTCATGTAGAGCCCTAATTCAAACACCCTCTTTTCAATCTAACTCTTGCTGTAAGTGGTCCTTTCGGATTTATTTTGCTTATTATAATCATTCATTCTTTAAATCTTTTATTTTCTCTCTATCTCCTTGGTTTGTTGATTTCATTAATTGTTATTTTTTGTTATTTTTATCTAGTTGTAATTTTCTGTTGTTTTCTTTTCATCACCTAGTTGCTTTAAAAGGGTCTGATTCCTACAAGAGGATCATTTGT